TGACCACTGAGCTGCTGCAGAAAGCACCTTGGGCTCCTGAGCTGGGGTGGTGGGGGAGCGAGGGCTTCATCCATACCCCTCTGACATCTGCACCCAGCTCAGCAATGACCAGGCCACTGCTGGAAGCCCCCTGGTCTTCCTTGCAGGAATGAGGGGGTGCCACAGGCCTCAACTCCTCCTCTCCTCCTTCCTCCTTCTCCCATCCTATTTCCTTCCCCTTCCTCGCTCCCCCTCCCCCCAGCTGCTCCACAACATCATAGAATGTAAATAAACTTTAAAAAAAGGAAGAAAACCTAAGATGATTAATATTGCTAAGCTCAAAAAACTAAACAAAAAGGATTTTGTATGGAAGTTAAATATATGAAAGATCGTTCAGATGGCTATGGACATTTGTTTCCCTTTCTGCTAATTTGATTGAGAGGGGATTGAAATTAAATGCAGTTAAGATCTTCCTAACACTTGTTAGATAAATGAATTTATCAAGGGAAATTGTGTATCTCTTGGAAGTCCTAGAAACCACATATTACTAACTATTCAAAATGGATTTATTTTGTTATACTGGAAATAGGGTTTGACTTTCGACCTTATTATGTCAGTTCAGCCTAATTATTAATTGAGGATTCTAATTTTTAGATTAGAATCTATTTCTCTCTCTTTGTGGTGAACAAGAATATTTTTACTAGAATTTAACATATTAAACTGATTTCTTACTTAACATGGTCTAATCAAATATTTTTCTAAAACCTACAGTATTCAAGGCTCTTGGAGAAGGGCAAATTATAAAACATGATCCCTGACCTTATGGAGCTTATTTTGAAGTTGGAAACAGGTGGGTCACAAATTACAGAAGGCTTGTATTTTAGGCTTTAACTTTATACTACATTGCAGAAAGTAGAAGGTATTTGAAGTTTTTCTACCTCCATTTTATAAGTAAGGAGTTTACATAATTAGGACTCTGCAGTGTGAGCTGTAGCAGGGCCACCTTTATGTACATGTGAACATGGAGGAAAAGGAGAGGAATGTGGAGAGTTCGGAGGTACAGAGTGTCTTTAAAAAACGCTCTGGGTAGGCAAGTCAGCACTAGGCAAGATCAAGGTGAAAGATGATCGGGGTATGGAATAGCATGGGAGAAAAAAGGAAGGATTGACAAGATTTGGTGATTTTTGTAGATGTGGTACCCAAGGAAGATGCAGAATTCATGGAGCTATAGCATTTTTATGCTCCGTGACCTGAAAATAAGGGTGGTAGAATAAAAGCAGTCCTAGAAAGATAGGTAATTTGAAAAGTTGCTTTTGAACATCTTGTGATGATAGGATCACAGAGACTAGTGGGCAGCTGGAGCAAAAACGTAAGAAAAGTTTATTTGGTTTTAACATTGTCTTTGATTTGATTATTTTCTTTCTACATTGTTCATTACCTTTATATTACTATTGAACTGGAAGTATTGAAATTGCTTCTGTTAGGTACATTTAGAGCAAAAGCTCATAGGTTTCAGTGTTTCTATTTTTTTTTTTTTT